GCTCGCTTTCCCCCTCAATCCCGAAAGCTATTCCACTATTTGACGCTGGAGTTAATCCTTTGGCCGAGGCTGGCCGTGTACTTGTATATATTGTCACACAGGCCTCACCACATCGTCCGGTTATAGTTTGGTGAGAACATTGGCACCCATGATTCTGTAGAACTTCTTTTCGCCATTTACTACCCTGATTCAAACATTGGAAAGGGACGAATGTCGACCACGGGATAGGGATGCAGGGAGCCTGTTGCGGATCAACCCTCGATGCCTTGGATACGGTAGCGCTCGCTCGACCCCGTCAATTTCCTGGCGTATCCGAATGGCAGCCAATCACACGACTGATTTTCTCGCTTAGGATAGGGGGAAATTGGCTAAGAAGGCAGCAACGCCCCTGGATTAGAGAACGTCTTTGATATACTCTGAGAAATGTACAGTGCCTAGCTGCTTAGCTCGTTGTCATTGCTGGGTCCCAGTTAAACGAGCGAAGGGTGGGGAGGGGAGTAAGCTGGCTGATGAAGGAGAATGTCGGGCCAATAGCTGTTTGCACGAATACGCCTTCCGCGAATCTGTTTTAGTCGTGGTATTTGGGACGAAGTGGCAGTGGTAGTAGAAGTGACGTGTTTCTAGCGACGCTGTATAATTGGCGCCTTGCCATAAAAGGCTAGTGATCTCGTGAAACGTTGATAGGTGGGAAGAACTCGTTTTCTCGTGGCAGGTCTTGCACACACAGGCGAATTAGATTGTTTTGCGGCTATAGCAGCAGCGTCCGAAACGGTTCCACTCGACACTGCTTTTGTGTCATCGAGAGTTAGAGTCAGATAAACGGGTTGATGATCGAGAAACAGGTCTCAAAGCACCTCTTGGCGCTGAAGAGGCGTTGGTGATGGTTTTTTCGTTTGTGGCATTAAGTTGCCTTCGGGCGTGTGTTCATTCGTACGTAGGTAAGTTCGTTCACTGGAGGACGAAGACATCGAACACACATCATATCTCCTCCGTGATGTTGAGGTAAAGGGAGGCTTTCTGTCTCTGAGTCTGTTTGCCGCCACGTTTTCTCTCGTCAAGCGCCTGTCAAGCACCTGTGCATGAAAGCGAAAATCTCGTCCCCGGAAACTCGTTCCTTGCAAGAATTTCTTGCGTGATGCAGCTCCCCTACCTTCCACCCTTTCCTTCCCGCCTGTGTCAGCCTAATGGCGGGGCGATAGGTCGAGTCAGCCACCGAGCAGAAGTGAGAGTGATTGATCGAAATTGAAAGTTCTTACGCTGCGCTGTAAACAGAGTGCCAAAATCCGTCGCGTCATGTCTTGAAAACATCGTCGATATCCAGACGATTGACGGGTTCCTCGGGATCACATTGGGATAAGCAGTGCGCGAACCGTATTTGGTCATTTAATGTTCCGTAGTGGATCCAATTTGCATAATACCATATGGAAATGGCAAAGAAGAAAGCGGCTTTTATTCATCATCTCACACCCACACTACCACCTCTTTGAGCGATCCATTTATATACGTCTACTATTTATGCTCTCAATTCTGCCCTCTTTCTGACTTCATCGAACGTCTGCTAGTCGACTGGGATTTGACTGTTTTGAACAGCGGGCGTGTGAGCAAGAGGGAGGGGGAATGTTTGTGATAAGCCGCGACCCGCTAGGATCACTTCCATACGAGGGTGTGTATACATATGAAGTTATCGATCTGATATTGAGGGATGCGTTGTGACGGGGGGAGTGAGGAAAGAAATGGAATATTGGAAAGACGATCTAACTATACTCGGAGAATATCGTTCCCTTTACTATTATGGGCATACAGAGGTGGTGTCATATAAGTAGGGAAGCTTTGCTTTGTAGTGATTGAGACGACCATGAGGAGGCGTCGATACGAAGGCATCGGCATGCTCAATCAATGATTTGTGTGTTTTGCATCAGGTGGCTGGAATGAGAGGGCTGAGTCATAACTTTCCTTCGAGAAGCCCTTCACATGAGAATGGCTTTTGTGTCTAGTGAATATCATCGAAGTTCACGGCATAGCATCTAGAGATGAGGGATCAGCACCAACTAAAAGGATTCAATGTAAGCGATCAGTTTGACTTCATTCTCAATTCTCAGCCTGTTCTTCACTTTGATCATTCATTCACAGGTTTTCCGCTTCTTTTTGTGCCTGATCGAGGACTACAAAGCATCGTAGCCGAAGGCTGTGGGAATTCCGCGTCGGAGGTTGTGGTGCAGGGGCCGAAGGGAGGAGGAGAATAGCGGGCATCCGCTCTTTCTGTAAACACAGACATGCACACATCACTCGGTCGAACGCTCTAAATCTGGGATCTCCCGGTCGGTGGCAAGTCATCGTTCATTCCAGACAGTCAAGGAAGTCTCGAGCGTTTATTACTGACATGGCATTAAACATTCTTGTGGATCATTTTAAACTGTTGATAAAAGTACTCTGATCGCAACGGTCGAGAGGACCTTGATATCACATCTGGAACTTTTTGGCACCTTATTTGTTTCGATTACATCAACTGCTTCGCAAGGGGACTGAACGGAATGTATGTATATTGGTCCTTGATAAAGTCTAAAGGATAAAGTCTTGGTGCGTCAATCAATTCCGTCTGTGGGATGCGTACACGCATTCGACTTCCATTCAGAATGTAGTTACTTATTAAATGCGTAGGTAGCTTGAACAATGGCTTGCGGTGGTCAGCCGAAGTACAAGTCAGCGTTTTTATTCTTCTAGACAAGTCTGGTACCAATTAACCGACCTTGGTTGGCCTAGGCGTTATTTCTGATAATACTGAAAAGTTGTTCCATTGATCAAGATCCCTGATTTCAGTCCAATCGCGCAGACTCGATTCAATCAGCTTTTTGAAGTGCCAAAGTTGGAGAAATGGTTTAAGAGCGACGCGAGTCCAAGCCGTCAGAAGCTTCTTAACTATATGAACATCCTCAATGGGAGCAGCTATCGTCGCAATCACCAGAAAATAAGTTACCAACAGGTGCTTATATAGATAAACATTTTGTTATGTTCCCTCTTAGTAGCTTTCAAAATACGAAAAGCCATTCTACTGGAATACCCTAGAAATCGATTCGTGAATGGAATCGACATGGTTGAAATCATTCTTTTTCTTATTGCTAAGCTCGGGAGATGTAAAATTCCTTTTCAAGAAGAATTGAGCAGAGCAAAATCACCAAACTTTCCAATCAGATTCATCACCCAAAAGACTGTACGAGGTTAATTGAAATTGCGCTGGTGCTTTAACAGTCTTAGAGGAATAAAGTAAACAGGATAGTCAGTTGGGTTATCGGAATCCAGAAGCTACATCTCCTGTGATTACTTATGAATCATTTCTCTATCTCGCGGCTTCAGCCAAACGCTGTTTAGGTACTGTATTGCAAGTCTTGAATTTAAGTTCCATTTTGATTACATTGTTCAGATCTGTAACTGGTTTGCAAACCAACGGGCATCCTCACGTCGACCAGCATTAGCCGCTTCTCATACACAGGTTAATCAGCAGGTGGGTGAGGTACGATGAATGACTGTCGTTCTTTTTCAGTCTTTCTCATACTCATACTGATTCGTTCGCAAGTTTGTCAAGGAATTCAAATTCACTCAGGTTCCCAGTATTCCGACGATATTGCCCGATTTTCGACCCAAGTTTGACTTCAACAACATTATCGAAAGCTATCAAAAGAGCAGTAATGGAGACGTCCGTTACTTTCATTGCCAGATATTATCACCTTGTAAAATGCAAGCCTTAAATTTGTTTCATATTAAGGAAAGTCGTATCGACGGTGGTTCGGATTCGCCAACTCCGAATGACGATGAACTGCACAGTAACAGTGATGGGGCGGAAATGTCCACATTTCCTCATATAAAGCAGGTCGGTGAGGTACGTGAGGTCCCGGCTGTCCCGCCCTTTTCCCGTTTCCACTAATTGTAAGTTCTTCCTGCTTCAACCTCTGGAATCTCTAATCCCTATTGTAATTGTTCACTATGTGCTTCATTTTAATGAACTCCTTGAAGCTGCCAATTCATAGAATTATGTAATATGTCAACTGTATGTACGGAACTCTGTAGAGGCAAGAGTACAATCGGCTTGACGGTACACACTTTCTCGGGTAGTGAGTGTGAAGTGGCACTAGCTCTAGCACAGAACACCCAAGTCTACACGGCGCGAGTTTTCCGTTTCCACCCCTCTTCACCCTCCTTGTTCTCAGCGGCCCCCCNCCCCCCCCCCCCCCTAAGCGCTGCGGCTTATTCGAAACGGCTGGATGTTATCTAGTAAACTGTTGGTTGAGCACTGGCGATATGACCTTGTGACGTTCGGATTTTAAGATGAATGCCAGCCAGCGAAACGGAATGGCCAAAATCGTCAACGCCCAACTGACTGAGAGGGATAGGAGACTGGTTGTGACCTTGTATGCGTTTTGAGTGGTATCCACTGCCGGCATCACATCTAATACTTGACGACATGCACTACCGAGTTCGCTTTCGATGTCCATCGTCATAGAGATCGATGCCAACAAACGCCTTTGACACGAAGTAGCTGCTATGAACCATTGCCAGCCGATCGGCCCATTCGAATGCTACAGCACACCTTTGGATCTGAAGGCAGACTGAACTCTATTGTTGAGAATTTAAAAATTTCATTGAAGATATTAGAATACAAATGTTGTCTGACGCTTTCCGACGATACCTCGAATCTCGCTACAGATTTTCACGTCGTTTCAAATCGAACGGCGCAAAGTGTGCTTCATAAAGCGGAAGTGGTANTCCGTTGGCCAATGAGTCACACTTTTTGTTTTAGTCCGTCAACTGCATCCTTCACTCCTTCACTTAATTTTTGTCTTCTTTTAGCCTTTTAGCGAAGATCGACTAAGCTTCTTTCTGAACACCCCTCCCCCCTCCCCCCTTCCCTCTCCCTATCATTAACTAGGCAAGAACAAGAAGAATCCTGGTGAATGGATCTAGTGTCTTGTATTCCTTTGTATTTTGGAGTTCGAGTTCAATAATTCAATTTCAGGAATCAACCGCATCTTCGCCTGACTTGTCTGTGATTAATTCAATCGCTAGCTCATCTCCGAAACATATACCAAATGATCTCTCCATGGGAAACAATTTAAGTGGTATGGGGATTGGATCTCAAGGTGTGAACGGTGCACGATTTTTAAGACGCGCCAATTTCCCGATATATCTTCTGAATAAAGTACTATATTATTTGCAGCAGCTCGTTCACGACTGATGTTCGATCCGTTGACAGAGTTGCCAATTCTGGAGAAATGGTTCGAAGAGAATCCACATCCTACGTGGATGCAAATCGATCAATATACACAAATGTTGAATGGATGTCCGTACAGAGAGAACTATCCGCATATCAGTCAACATAATGTCAAGGTAAACTGTTTACCGATTAACACGAGGCGAGGCGGCGTGGAGAGGCTTGAAAATTGCTTCAACCATGTTTCAGATTTGGTTCAAAAATCGTCGCGCCAAATGCAAGCGTATGCAGACCGGCATGGTTGAGAAGTTGGAAAAATTGTTTGCGTGAAATGTGAATGAATCAAACAGGAGAACGATACTAGGACGATGCTGATGACAGTGATCGACAGAATATCCTTATAAAACTCGACCGAACTTTTGATCCTTCCGCTCACGTTCATCATCCACACTTCTCCTGCTATCGCTTTCTGTGTGTACTAACGTACCCTCGTAACTTGTTCGGGTCAAATATTTCTTAATCCGTGTTATGGGAGTGCCTCCTCGCCGTGTAATGGCTCTAGTCTAGGTAATATCCATCATTTCAGTTGAGGGATATCGTATATTAGTAGCCCACCACCCACATCCCCCTATCCTCCTCCTACTTTCCCGCCCTTGTAGTGTCACGTCACATCTGTGTAATCGTTTCTTACTTCTCACTCTTCATTGCCTCCTATTCAGTCGCACATGCGTAGGAAGTGCTAGCCGTATCCGCTGTTCTTGAGCCACTTTATTGAGTTGAAGAGTTTTAATGATGGTCCTCAATTGTTTCACTTATGCTTTTCAAATTAAGACGAATACTTTATAGATTGCTTTCAGATGCGAAAAGTTATTATGTGTGAATAGTTCATTATGCGTGTGTGTGTTTTCGCCCTTTTTGTTTTCATGTCTTCCGAATTAGTTATGTCGAGTAGTGTTTTCTTTTTTTTTTTTGTTCTCATCTTCTCTTACTTTCATCTTCTTCCTCTCTCCCAATCTTCCCATCCACTGTGTTTAACTGTATATAGTTGTGTTGGTTCATCGACACACAAGAGCTTTTGTCATACCCACAGCTTTTACTCTTGGCATTCTGTGTAGAAAAGGTGCAGATGAGGAGGTTGATCTTGTCTGAGTTCATCTCCACTTTCAGTTCCACCCTCCACTCCATCATTATAACCTCTCGCATTAGACCCTTCACCATTTCTACCCTCTTCCTCCTTCTATAACGAGCCTTAGCCTTGCATCTACGTACGACTTCCACAGTAATTGCTACTCGCAAGTTGTCATGTTCCTACTTTAAGTACTTAATAATTCGTCGCTCTTGCCACATTGTGTCAGTTATCCCTTATAATAAAGCTTTTCAAATGTCTTGTTGTTGTTGTTGTTGTTGCTGCTGCTGCTGGTGCCATTTAGACCCATATAATAAGTCGTCAGAAAAGGCAATAAATCACATCGTTCACTATGGTTCGTAGGCATTTGGTCGAAGCCCAAGAAAACCTCTTGCGGTTAGATCTTGTTTTACCATTACTGCTTAGCTCTCTTACTCATAAATAACTAATTGCTGACTAGTTGTAAGTTTCCTGCTGTTATGTGCTTACGTCTGCTTGTTTTCTATTTGAAGAGCTCACTACAATTGAGCATCGGCAGCGTCAGGGCTTCTGAGTCTGCTCTGGCAGTCGGCTTGTACATACTTATCTCTGCCTACTTTGAAGCAAAACCAATCCTCTCTCACAGAGTGACAATTTTTCCTCTAAATCATTCTTATTAGCGAAACAATGTCTTGAAAGACAAAAGCAGCTCAGCTTTTCAGCGACTTGACCGCAAAGAACTCCACAAACTTTTCCAACCCTGTCAGTTTGACATGCTCGATTCCACAATTGTTATACTATTCCAAGCAAATTTCGTTCACTTACTAGGTAGTTGCTCGAAGTAGTTGGTAGTTGGATCAAGTCTATGTGCTACTCAAAGCAGCTTACAGGCCTTCGCTGACAAATTCGTCAGTTGACACACCCTATCTATTCAAAAAACCCCTCTCCGAACATCATACTCAGAATCCATTCTTGCCTCCTCAGTCAGTAGTTCGCTGTATGATTATAAATGATAATAGTGATGAATTCTAATAATCTTGAGTATTACAATCACTATCCAGTCTTAGATCGATCGATGGCGACCCATCCGAAACCAGATTGGAGGACAGATAAGTCTCTTCCCCCCACCCCTTCCCCCTTCCCATTGCCCTAAGCTCGTAATGAATTCAAGTAATCAGTTGAGCAGTTTCTAGGGAGTCCTCAATTGTTCAGATTTAGTCTTAGTAACATATGTATTCCCTCAGTCACATTGAATTGCAAGGAAAGGAGTTTAAGGAAGTTTTCATGACTCTGCACTACTGCACACAATTTAGTGACGTCGCAGTTCAGACAGAGGGTGTTCAATATACCGGTCAGCCCTTTCGTTGGAACGTTTATCGTTCCAACGAAAGGGCTGACAATAAGAGCGAAGTCACTAGAAAAGATTGAAAGCGAAAGTTGTCCGGTATGGCAGAGTCGGAGAGTTATTTTCGATAAAAGTGTGATGCATGTGCTTTTAGGTACATTACTGATTTAAAGATGCCAATCAATTGACTATCTTCAGAAAGCAGTGGGAAAGTCAGACAACATCCTCTTAAGGGGAACAAGTTGGGTACCCAGCTTCATGAAGCTTTCCGATCCACCCGATGTGGAAATGGAATAATTGATTGAACAATATAAGGGTACAGTTAACTGTAACTTCGGGGTATCCAGTTCCAAGCCAACAATGGGAGCGATGAAGGATAAAAGGTAAAGTTTATGGCGTTAATCAATTCTGTCTGAGAGATGCACCCCGCACTCGACTTCCATTCAGAATCGTAGTGGCGTAATGAGTGCGTATGTGGCCTTTACAATGACTCGCGGTGGCCAGCCGATGTACAAGTCAGAGCGATAGTCCAGAATAATGTAAAAAAAAGGCGAAGTAAATGCGAAAATCGATGCAATCAGAGAATTACAAGGCTTCGGAAAAGTAGTAAAGGACGAAAATGTGACGAGAAAAGTTGTATGAAAGGGGTATTTGGACGAGCTGCCCAAATGTGTGCGCCATTGCGTACTGCTGGCAACAATAAGCTGCCTGATCGCAACATGTGCATCCGGTGCGAGTGCTGCAACCTATACAGTCTCTACAACGCCGTGAGGGTGGGTCTGGGAACGTCTCCCTTAACACGGCGTCGCCCACGCCGCACTTGTCGCGTATCGCAGGATTGCGATGGAAGATTGGAGCGCGCAATTTATGAGGTAGGGAGCCCTTTAATTATTTGAATTGACTGACCACTTTCTCCAATTTCAATGCAGTCTTGATCGTCGCTTACATAGAAGGGGTCATTTTAATTAATCAAGTGTAATAAACATGAAAACGAAAAAGAAACAGAAGAAAAAACGATCAAATC